GTGGCCGCCCCCAGCCACTGCACTCCAGTCTGGGCGACAGAGTGAGACTCCAACTCAAAAAAATAAGTAAATAACTCAAAAAAGTAGCCAGGCGTGGTGGCATGTGCCTGTAGTTCCTGCTACTTGGAAGGTTCAGGCAGAAGGATTGCCTGAGCCCAGCAGGTCGACGCTGGAGTGACAGTGAGCATGCCACTGCACTCCAGCCCGGGTGACAAAGTGAAACTCTGCCTCAAAAAATAAAAATAAATAGGCTGGGCTTGGTGGCTCAGCCTGTAATCCCAGCACTTTGGGAGACCAAGGCAAGTAGATTGCCTGAGCCCACGGGTTTAAGACCCATCTGGGCAATTTGGCAAGACCTTGTCTCTAAATAAATCAAAAATTAGGCGTGGTAGCACAAGCCTGTAGTTCCAGCCACTTGGAAGACTGAGGCAGAAGGATTGCCAGAGCCAGTAGGTCGAGGCTGCAGTGACCGGGAGCGTGCCACTGCACTCCAGTCTCGGTGACAGAGTGAGACTCCAACTCAAAAAAAATAAAAATTTAGCCAGGCATGGTGGCACACACCTGTAGTTCGGCTACTTTGAAGGTTGAGGTGGAAGGATCGCTGAAGCCCACCAGGTTGATGCTGTGGTGGCTATGAGCGTGCCACTGCACTCCAGCCTGGGCAACAGAGTAAGACTCCAACTCAAAATAAAAGTTTTTTTCTTCCAAGCACAGTGGCTCACACCTGTAATCCCATCACGTTGGGAGTGGATTGCCTGAGTCCAGGGGTTTGAGACCTGTCTGGGCAACATGGCAAGACCTCAACTCTACAATAAGTCAAAAAATTAGCTGGGGCGAGGTAGCACGTGCCTGTAGTTCCGACTACTTGGAAGACTGAGGCAAAAGGATTGCAAGCCCAGCACGTCGAGGCTGCGGTGGCCGGGAGCAGCCACTGTGCTCCAGCCTGGACAACGGAGTGAAACTCCAACTCAAAAAGAAAATACGGGGGTTCGAGACCCGCCTGGGCAGGTGAGACCTCATCTCTACAATAAATCAAAAAATTAGCCAGGCATGATAGCGCGTGCCTGTAATTCCGGATACTCGGAAGGCTGAGGCGGAAGGATCGCCGGAG